CAGGGAGTGGTCTCCAGGTGCAGGACAGGCAGGTGGGGCTGGGATTGTGATCTGGGGGTGGGAACAACATAGGGCTAGGACCCAGGGCAGAACTGTTGCCTGTAGGTCCCTGCAGTGGGTATTGGCTCCACAGTCAGAGGCATGTGGGCAGCAGAAGGCAGCTCTGCCCCAAGCCCTTCCTCACACTGTTACTGCCCAGTGATCCTGATCCCTGCCCCATGCTATCTACCCAACTAAGCATGGGGCAGAGCCACTTACGAAGTTTTTTTGAGCAGTTGGGTGGGTGGGGAGTGCTGCTGATCTGGCCTGTGACAGCTCACCAAAACTCCTTCAGTGGCCCTCCCCAAATCATTGCCCACCCCTAGCCTACACTGCCAGCAAAGCAGACAAAACATGAACCTAATTCTCAAAACGGACTCTCAGTCCACTTTTAAGACCTCAGTTATTTATAAACCCCTCAATTACCTGGGTGCTAGTTAGTTCTGCATTACCTTTCATTCTATGCCACAGACTTTCAGCTGCAAAGCTCTTTCTATACGTTCCTACTGTAGTTCTACAAGAGGCAAGAAACAATTTATTTTCAAAGGTTTTGGCTTAGAATTTTCTCCATTTTACCATCCATCACATCCAATTTTGTTCTTTTTAACTCCTATATCATATATCCATGTTCCATAATGACTGACGTAACATAAGAACACACATATAGTGTAAGTTTATAAAATACACTGGATGGTAAACTCATAACATACTCTCGCTCAAAATCTGAGTATTATGGGTGAGTAAGGTAAATAAAGAAAAACCTTCCAGACCTGCTGGGTCAAAAAATAAAATCAAATCAAAGTTGTAAATACAAGCTCAATTTTATAAACTAAATGAACTAGAGATTTATGTAGCTTATTAGGAATACTAGAAACTTCTGAAACCAACAGCGAGCTGAACTGACTACACGTTCAATCCTGGGTTCCTAATTAGCACAAAAGACGTGAGAAATGGAAAGTGTTGAGAAAAAAATTACAAAAGTAATGAGGAAGCAGAGAGAAAATGACTCAAAATGAAGGATTAAGAAAGTTATATTTGCATAGCTCTGCCCTCACAGTCAGTACAGGCTACTCTAAGAAAAAAAGGAATTGCTTATATTCACTGTCAAAATGGCATCTTCTATGCAACCCCCACCAAAAAATCTTTGCCCCCTTTCCCCAAAACAGTCAAAGAAAAATCCACATAACAAAACTAGAGAAAATATTCTTATAAAAGCAGGGAAAAACTGAATTAAAAATAACTTACTGCTTACAAGATGAAAAATTGAGAATTGCATATTAGCCATACTAAAAATCTCTCTTACCATAAGTGTAAGAAGGTAAAAATCCTCCCACAACAACTGTTTGAGGACACAGACATCTGTTACTCTAAATAGGGATATGCAATTACACCTGATGGCATCTATCTCATCTAGAAATTAACCTAACAGCTGAGCTTTATTATAAATACTAACAATTTTTTTAAAGAAACAAATTAATGTAATTTTAGAATGATTTGCATTCATTGGATAAAGTAAAAATATGCTTATTTCCTATGTTATGAAAATCACAGAAATCAGTATGTTTAGTTCTGCATGCTAGTAGAAAGTAGGAGGTGAAATAGATTATCATCATCATGTTACTTAATGGCTTTAGGGCAGTGATGATTTTGCAGAACCTAATAAATATAAACATCTAAGTTTACTTTACCCATCTGAATTACATTCAGGAAGATGACTTTGTATGACAGCATAAAAAAATAAAAGGTGAGGCAGAGATGGAACAGATATTTCTTGATCACATGAGAGAGGCAAGGATTTCTTAGGGTGGTATCTTTTATTGGACCAGCTACATAGTTGGTCCAATACAAGCTATCAATGTAAGAAATCTCGCATAATTTCTGGACCATCACGGCTACAAAAATCACTCTTACACCAACTGATTATATGATTCACACTAAGCATTTATTGCCTTCTTTTATTCTAGCTCTCCCAATTTTATTTCAACACAACATTTAATACTCTAGCCCCCTCTGCTGAATATATTGTGTGTGTATAGGTTACATAGAGATTTTTTCCCCAGGATATTTTCTCTTTAAAAGAAATCAAGAACAATGAAGAAACAAATACAGAACAATAACAGAAAATATCTTAAAGTAAAAGTCACTGAATAAAATACAGGAACTTTTCTCACAGCAGAACCTAAACACAGAACTCATGCCAGGACTTTTCAGGTGAGTACACTAACCAAGTGACAGTTACCCTCTCCTGCTCTTTTCTCTGTAACCCTATGAATCTTGAATTCCTTGCTGCAAAGCAGCACAGCTTCAAGAGGGCATCTTCACCTAGCCTAGCCAACAGCCTATTTGTCAGGGCACTGTCCTAGGAGGTAGAAGCTGTGGGTTTGAATATCCTGAGGTTGACTCTGAGTCTAATTTGCTGAGTGCTTTAATTACTACATATTATATAAAAGGTGGGCATTACCACCATTTATGCTGCTACATTTTGAAAGAAAGTGACCATAATTGCATTTTGTGAAGGTCCTGGTCTTTTTGGTATGTTAGGCCTCCTTTGGAGAATATCTAGCAAATTGGGTCCCTTGGAAGACTTAGCAATCCTCCACTTATGGTCTGCATCCTGATCAGGCTCAGCTGACACATGCATACCAAGCTGTTCAGACTGCAGCAGTTCTAGGTATGTATAGAAACTGAACTTTAAATAGCCTAGGGAACTTTCAAGTCAAACAGGCAGTTGTCTGCTGTGTTCAGGGGCCTCCAGGATTAGGCAGCATATGAGAGGGGTCTTCTGGATTTCAATTCTGTTCTTAGGTGCTTCAGTTGACCCATAACCTGTATTAGGTACCTAAATCCTTTACTGTCCCAGATACTTCAGAAAATGATGAAAGAAATTTCCAAGTGGATAACTGACACACAATCTCCCTACAAGACAAATTACTTCCCAACCCTAGAGCATTAGCAGTTGATGCTTAACAGCATAAAGATTTATATGCCATCTAACTTGCTTCTAAAACTATATGAAAAACTGTAACTCATTATCCATACCATGTATAATCCTTTAAAATTTATTACTGAATACTTGGTTTCAATTATGTTATTCCTTCTTCCACAAGACCTCCATATGGGGTAGGTGAAAGCTGAGGGAAAAAGGGAGCGAGACAGGCAGGGACCAGGTTTCTCTGAACTCTATCTTTGATCTATGACCTTGCATCTGTGGTCAATACCACCTCTTGACTTTGCAACTTAGACAGAGTTCTGCTGGGTTTGTGTCTGTCTTTTACTCTCAGGCATACATTCAGGGTGAAAGCTTTTTATTTATTTTAGTAAAAATCTTTGAAACATGTTCCTCTTCTCTGTCTAGAAATCAAAAAAGGGCCTTCTGTGCATTGGTCAGCTTACCCTATACCACTCTCTTCACTTCACAGATTAAGCAAGGGTACGGATTTCCTTCCCATTTTCCACAGGTGGAATATTAGGGCTTCTCGAATCCTTTAGGCTCTGTGAGCTGCTCTTGGGCAATGAATGAGCTCTAACACTCCTTAGTCATGTTTTTGGATTGGCAACAACTTTGTGAATTACATATGTACACTGGGTGTGTGTCTATACAGCAGGGGCGAGCAATTATTTGGGTTGGAGGGCCACTTAGGGAGTTTTGGTGAGCCATCAAAGGTTGGGTCAGTACCTTCCATCCCTCCAGCAGCTCACCAAAACTCCCTAAATGGCTCTGCCCCACACTCAGCTGGGCACATGGAATGGGACCACAGGTGGGCAGGGACTGGCATCCAGGAGCAGGACAGGCAGGTGGGGCTGGGATTGGGATCGCTGGGCGATGGCAGTGTGGGGCTGTGGCAGAGCTACAATCCACGCCTCACCCCTGCCTATCGAACCAGTGCCCATCCCAGGGACATGCAGGTAGCAGATCGTGGCTCTGCCCCAGGCCCCATCCCCATGCTGTTACTGCTCTGTGATCCCAATCCTGATCCCGATCCCATCCCCATCCAGCTCCTGGGCACTGCCTCCTAACCACCCACTGACTCATCCCATCCAACTGGCCATGCACCATGCCTGCATGGGTCCTGGGCCAGTCTCCATGGAGACCCCACCTGCCTACTCCATCTGGCACCCCGGCAGTGGGTGGAGGGCAGACAGGCCAGGGTGTCCACGCAGCAGAGCTGGGGTTGGGTATGGCAGCAGTGGCAGAGAGTGGCAGTGCAGCCAGAAGGAGCTGCTGCTGTGGAGGCTGCCTGGAAGCAAATCTGGCTACAGCACTGTCCAGCCCTGCTGGGTGCCCAGGAGTGGTGGGACTAGCCACATGCATCATGGCCCAGGCTACCCCTTGGTGCCCGGGCTGGGTGGGGCCTAGGGACCTGTCATGGGCCAAAAGTCCTTGGTGGGCTGAATCCGACCCACAGGCCATATTTTGCCCACTCTGGTATAGAACCTGCTCAGCCAGTGTGTAGCCTACTGAGTATGCATGGTATATGCACATATGCTTATGCATCCACACTTCATGAGTAATAAGGGTAAAAACTGAAAATTACAAGCACCAAAAATGCCACTTATACAGCTGGAAAACTGCCATTTAGGTGCACAGAAGGTAAAATAATTCTACCCCTCTGTCTTCTGATATAGTAGCTAATGTTACTGAAATGCTGGATATTTTTATTGGCAGTTCATATTACTATATTCTTGTTTTTCTTCAGAAATCTTCTATCCAGTCTATGTACTATGTTAGCCTTTATAAACTTAATTTCAGCTCTTCTTTATTTGATACCTTAATTTCTAATAGTATTTGACAGATCATCTGAACAGAGGAGCTTCAGGATGGGTATCTCCCCAACACCTCTTGTGTTAAAGATTGATTCAAAGAAATAACTTAATTTTTGGCAACATTCTTGTACTCATTAATTACTGCCTAACATAATAAAAGGCTAACAGTAAAGAAATGACAAAACCACAGAGCTTACTTTTACAGGCTCAGGCTGCATCACAGCTGCTGGCATGGCTATGGCACTTTGGGCATAAACTTGATGATATGTTGCTTGAATTCCATGATCAGAATAGGGCTAGTATAAAAACAAAGGTTTCAAATTATTTTAAGAAATATTATAAAGCAAATTCTGTATTTGTATGTTTTTGTAAATTCAAATTCCTTAGAACTGTGGACTAAGATAACTCAAACAACTCCAGATATTTATTACTTTTTTTCCCATGCAGAACATATTTGATTTAATAGGGGTGCTTTTTAATCGACACTGAACCACATTTTTCTCTAGTATTTTATCATGATAAAATGTATACTTTTCCTTAGCTACATTTTAGTAAAAAAATTGTTATAGGTAATTATTATTTTTAATTGAATATTGAAAAGTAGAAGACAAATTGCTGTCATAAATTTTCTAGTAGACTTTTTCTTCAGTCATTATAATCAAATAAATTCTAAATACCTATATATTTTTGCATTTGATTTTGTTTTTATCATAGAAAACCAGATTTCCCCTGCTCCCTTCACTCAAAAGGATATGGGTCCAGGTGCAGCCACAGGTGACTCGTAGGGGGGCCACATGCCCCCCCGAGATTGGCCCCCATCTTGGCACCACTTTGGATAGGGCAGTTTTTTTGCCGTGCAGACCAGCGAGGGCGGGGGGTGGCACAGCACTAAGCCACGGCATAGAAGTATAGGAGTGGAAGTGGGGTTTTTGGCCTGCCCCTGGGCCCACCCACAAATTGCGATCCCCCAGACTCAGGAGGCACCAGCCACCCCTGGCTGCAGCTGTCTCTGCCACTGCTTTGCGGCGCTAAGCAGCCCTGATATACTGTTGCCCCTCATTCCCAAGCCACAGTACCCACAGCTCTGCTGATGCCCCTTGCTCACGACACACAATCCCTAGCTCTGTCAGTGCCCCTCATTCCCAACCCGCAGCCTTCTGGCTCTGCTAGTGCCTTTCACTCCTGACCTACTGTCCCTTGTCCCCAGACCCAAGCCCCGCAGTGTGCGAGAAGGGGGTCAGTGTGGGCACAGGTGATGCACTGGGTATGGGGGAGGGCATGTGCTTCCCCTCCCCCACCATCCCGGCAGATTTCTGTGCCCAATGGGGCACAGGTGCAGCCTGGCTGGACTAGCTCCAGGCAAGAGTTGCCTCTGTGGCCTAGGGAGCAGAACTTGGAAGAGGAGGGAGTGCCATGCCATCATGGCTGTCAAGGTGAGGCGAGGTGAGGCGGCATGGAGCTGTTCTCCCTGCTGCTGCCAGGAGGGCAACAGGATCCTCACCTTGGCAGCCATGGTGGTGCAGTGCTCCCTCCCACACTGGGTCCTGTCCACTGGGTTGTGGAGGTGGCTCCTGCCCAGAGCTAGTCTGGCCAGGCTGTAGTCCTTCACCCTGCTGTGGGCACAGAGATCTGGGGAGGGGATACTCCTCTCTGCTCCTCCCAACGTGTTACCTGTGCTCCCCCCACATTGCCTGTGGCCCCCCCATTCCTCCACCCCCACAGACTTACCTGGAAGGAACTGCTCTGCGCTACCCTGTCTGACTGCCAAGTGCATGAGTACAGGCACACATGCACGTGGTACCCCTGCCCCCTCAAGCTCCAAGCAGCCCCTTGCAGGCTGGAACTCTGCTAGCCTGCAAGGGGAAACCCACCATTTCGTAAGTTTTTCTCCATTAAAGGAGAACATCTGCGGTTTTCCACAGCAAATGGAAAACCCAGATCCCTGGTGATAACTTTTCAAAATATTTTGGAATTCAATACTTCTATTTATAAGCTATGCCAGAAACTGTGGATGAGCACTCATGACACTTGTTTGAAATGGCTCAAATAACACAAATGTGGATGTGGAGGGAAAAGCTCAAGGATTCTTATATTTATGCAGTACAACTGGCATGGTTACACTGAACTGTTTTCGCTTAAATTGGGTTTAAACTAGGTCACCTGAAAAAGTTTCATTTTCTACTGTACGTAAATTGTAGGCAAAAGTTTAATAACCATACCTCAGGAACAGTAGCTTCCATTAGAGATAGAGGAGGAGGCATGCATCCACCATCCTGTGAAATTTCTACTGGCTGATAAATAACTTCAGATGGATGCAGATAAAAGAATGAGGCCGATGAGGCAGGAGACTGAAATAAAACAAGTTATTAAATAAAATTCTATGATTTACACATTAAATTTATTGACAAGGTTTAATTTAGGTTACTGAACTCTGTATGCCATAGGCAAAAAGCGACACCTTAAAAGGTTTAAAGAAACAATGAAAACTAACATTTAGGCAAATAATGTTTCAAGTTTTCAGAGATTAAACTTGCTTCTGAGTGCCCTTCCCATTTTTCCTTGTCATAGTCATATTTTATTTATTGTAAGTGTTTCTTTTCTGCTATATGAAAGATTTGCGTAAACAAAAAAGGAAGCAACTGATGGACTGACTATACATGGGAAATAATTAGATTAATTTTACTAAAAGTACTGTCAAAAGCATGTGATCAACAAATGAAAAAGGGGAAATAGTTTTTCCTTTAATTACTCAATTTTATTTATCGTACACACTACAGCAAGGCTATCGAGTAAATAATTTTCAGAAGTAAGTGTAAATTTTTAACTTGATGTGTTAGTAACACAGGGGTGTCAAACATCTTGTATAGAGACCAGATCTGGGTAACAGAGCAGCTCACTCTGGCCTATGGGTCTCCTTGTGGGCCAGGAAATTTGGCGATGCAGCTAGCAGGCGGCAGGGCCTGCTGCCAAATCCCAGGCTACACACTCTATTGACCATGGCCTTCAGCAGCGAAAGGACAGCAAAGGCTGTGCTGACATAACCCTGATTACCCTGCAGCTGTTTGGCCCACAGTCTCTGGCCCCCACTGCTTGCGCTGCCTCTGCTGCTGGCCCTGCAGATCCGGCCTGAAAAAGCTCCGTGGTTTAGATCTGGTCTGGGGTAAATTTGAGACTGCTGTACCATGTTAATCCCAGATATGGTTTATAAGTTTTCTAAATATAATAAAAGTGAACTACTGTGCTTTTAAAAAATGTAAATAAAACATAAAAAGTTAAGACTCTAAATCCATAAACAGAATACACATTTAAAATAACATTATAAATACATTATAAAAGTAAATTGAAAGTTTTGAGTTTTTTTTAACTGCAAAAACAAATGGAGTTCTTAGTTTATCCTGTGGATATATGTGAAGGCAGAAGAGAGGGCTTTGTATATTTGTAATATATCATGACTTCCTACAACAGAAACATAAAATCCTGAAATACAGTTGTGGCATTTATTCAAAAGATAAAATCATTTTCAAAACATTAAAAAACCTTCATTTATAATATCTAGGTGTTTATGTTCATCTAGGTTCTCACACTGTTAATGTTTTATGGTATTATGAAGGTGTTGATAAAGAGTTAAGGCTCCATTTCCTATCTGGTTTCATATCTCAACAACAAATTTATAGACCCATTCACAATATGTAATATAATGTAATAAATACATTAATTCTAACTTTCTGATGTAAAATGAGTACTAACCTGTATATATAGAGATTAATCATGTTGCTTAGTGTACAAGGCACTAGGTAAACTTATGGAGCTAAACTAAACATTCATCCTTATAAATCCTTAAAAACAAAAAAGTTTGTAGAACTATGTAAGAAGTTAGAACTGGTCCAGGCCATAAAAACTTGCAGATTAAGTCCCTTAGCCTGCACGAACAACTAGCACAAACCTCTGTGCCTATGCTAAGGTCTATGCTATAGTACACAGTTTAAAAGTCCAGGCTACTTGATCCCAACAAAAGATCAGGCCTGAAAGAGATTTTTACATTTACTGATTTATGAAGTAACAAAACTATAAACTGTTTATAGTATAAAATCAATTATTTAAGCACATCTTACACTTCTCAAAATGAACTCAATTCAGGTAGCTTTCAATATTGCTTAGAAGAGCAAGAACATTACAAAATTAAGTCCTATTCCAGAATTCTCATGCTCCCTGAAGAGCATATAGTAACATGGTCAGCTGTTCCAGTATTGCCAGCTTGTCTTTGCATGAAATAGTTGCACCTTGAAAAGGGAGCTTCTGTCCTGTAAGACAATCCTTAAAAGGGAATCTCAAATATGTGTGGTCAGATAAAAAGTGGCATTGTTCAGATTCCACTTGCATTGGTGTATTTGTTTTTTGCTTGGCAAATTGGTTACTGTGTTCAATGAACCTTTGACATGAACAGCTTTCACTGAAAATCTTCTCCACTATTCCATAGAGAAAAGTTCCCTGGGAGAACAGGACTTTATTTGCCCCTTCTGATTTTATGACATTACTGTAATATTATTGGTGAACTCTCAAAGTCTGGATGTGACATTCACGGTATACAAGTCCCCTCTCTGACTATAAGCCCCCCTCTACACATGCAGATAAAGGTGCAATGGGATCTAATGTAGGGGTAGGCAATGTGTCAGAGCATGGCAAGTGAAGGCATTTTGCTTGGTGCACACACCTCAGAGAAGGGACCAGGGCTGCACTGCCACAACAAGAATCAGGTCCCTCACATCTCCCCAGCTGACTGCCGCTGGCACACCATCTTACAAGTTAAGGGTGCCGGCATTTTTGGCATTCTGCCCAAAACATTGGCAACCCCATATCTAACATATGATCCATCGTCTTTTGCCAAACCACGTGCGTATGTACAATCGTCTCTTGACAAGCCACACATGTATGGCAGAAAGCGTGATTGTGGGTTCGTGCTTTAGATCCAATCGCACCTTACTGCTGGTGTAGGGGGCTTCCAGCCACTATACCCACAAGCTAACAGGGCTTGGATAAAAATCTCCAACAGAAGTGCAGGAACAGAAAAAGCAAATATGCTTTCTAAGCAAATGAAGCCATTTTAGCAACAGAAATGAAAGAACTAGAGAGATGTCTCTCCTTAAGATCTTGGAAAATCCAGAGTTCAAAGAGATAATGAAGATGTGGATGTGAATGGTGTTTAGCAGCATGTGTGCTTTCCATTGATTTAGAACTCTCTAGGGCAGGGGTGTCAAACTCATCTGGCCCCATGGGCCTGAAGTGTCACAGGGCTGGACTTATGGGCCAGATCAGGCCCATAGACCTTGCCTCCACATACTGGATTCAGTGCTCACTCAGGCTGGTCCAAGACTGTGTCACACATGGCGCCTGCTCCAACCAGTCCAGGATTGCACTGTATGCAGCATGTAATCCAGAACCATGCCTCATGGCACCCATTCCAGCTGGTCGGGGAACCATGTTGCATGTGATGCCTGCCCTAGACTGGCCAGGGTAGATACTGCACAGTGCATGTGTTCCAAATTAGCTGGAGTGGGCACTGCATACAGTTTGCATCCGAGACCATCAGAGTGGGCACTGCATGCGGTGCAGTTCTGAACTGGCTAGAGCAGGCACTGGCAAGTGCTAGATCTATCATGTGGGGTGGGGAGGGTCCTGGACTGACCTGTGTGGGTGCCACACGCAGCACATGTCATGGAGTGGCCACCACGTGACATGTAGCCTGGATCAGCTGGGATGAGCAGTGTGTGTGTCATGTGTCCCAGGCACTGTGCATGGAGCTAGTCTGATGTGTGCCATGAGGCACGTGGATCAACTTGAGACCAAGGGCCAGCACTGGATCTGGGCCACAGGCCATATCTTTGACACCCCTGCTTTAGGGCATATTAAGAGTGAAGTCATGCCATGCTGTACCATATTGATGTGTAGAGATGACCCAAGCAGGGTGCAGGGCCTGGGACAAATCAGCTTGAGTGGGGTCCTGCCCCATGATGCAAGGAAGCTGGTGGCAGGGACGGGGGTTGCAAATGGCCGGATGTGAAGCCAGTGGCAGTGCGGAGTCGCTGTGGCAGCTCCGCTCAGTGGGGCCCCCCAAAGCACAGGGTGGTCACCCCAATTCACCCCCCCGCCAGGGATGGCCCTGCTGATGTGTATTCCTAGAAAACCAGAGCTCCCAGAAAGACTCTGGAGGAAGTCTAGTAAGTAGACTAGTGAGTCTGGAAGAGCTGAGGCATTAGCTCAAGGATCTAGGCAACCATACTGCAGGGTGCTACTGCCAACCCCCAAAAATTTCACAGCCTTCTTTCTGTTCCATGATACTAGGTCCATAGGCAAAGTGACAAATTAAGTGTTTGTCTTGATGCTTTCCTTAATAATTCAAAATACCTCATTGATGAACCCCCATAATTAGATCTGATATTTTAAAAATTTATGTTGTATGTTTTCCTTGATATCAGGGAATACTACTGGGACACTTGTGAGATACAACATATTAACTAGGCTGGTGCTTACAAACAGCCCTGGAAAATTTCATTTTACCTTTTGAAATATGTACAAGTGATATAAAAAACTGGAAAAGCATATAGCGTGTTCAAATTAACAGTCACAACTGATGACCAAATGCTGCAATTTTAAACTAGATTTACCTGAGGAACACTCCACTGCCACTGCCCAGGAAGACACTGCGCCGGGGCCTACATTTATAAAAACAAGATAGTATATTGCTTCCGTAATTCAAACACTTCCACATTGAAGCTCAAAAACCTTTCAAATACACTGTTTTCAAATTAAAAAGTTGTATAAAATTAGGAACTGGTAAGGGCACAAATAGAAAACTACAAAAGTATCTAATAACATTTGTGCATACAACACACACCTTTCCCCCAAAAAACCAGCTGCTGGAAACTGGTGTGAACACTATATGTGAGAAATATGGTAAGAGCAGGTTCTGCCACTTACTGGGTAAAACTAAAAGTAAATTCTGTAGTCATCCACAGGGAGCAGAACAATGAACAGGCCTCCCTAGCTGCCGCCACTCAGTTATTTACTACAGAGAAAGATGTTTTTGAAAAGCAAAATGAATGGGGGTGGGGAAAAAAAGGTGTGTATTATATTCCAGGGCATGTTGTACACAAGAAAACATAGTAAATCTGAACTTAGCTCCAGCTGCACAAAAGCACTTTATGGGACTTTGGAGCCTAAATGCCTTTGAAGATCTGGACCATGTGTTCTATTGTCTTTCAGTGGGCTTATAGGTTAGCCATAGAGATGCACCAATATAGTTGGTCTATACTGGATCGGCACCGATAAAAGGAAAATTGACATTATTGGCAATCGGCCTTTTTTGGCTGGTATAGCCAATAATTTCACCAAAAAATGTCGCTGCAGCCTGGCAGCTTGGAAACTAGTGTCCAGCAGGTAAGTTTGTGGGGGGAAGGGGTGTTTGTGGGAGGGAGGGGCGAATCGAGGCCCTTCACAGTGAGGGAGGGAGTGGGCCTTGGGCAGGGACAGATGCTGCCCAGCTGGGGTGGGGCAGAAAGCAGGACAGTCATGGACGGCCCATCCAGGGGGCACGGAGCAGGGAGGGGGTGTGGCTCCCTGCCACTGCATGTACCCCCAGGGGAGGTATGGGGGCACATGCCCCCCAGATTTGTGCATGGGCTGAGGGCAGGCTGCCTGCTGTAGGCTCAGGGCCAGGAACTTTGCCGGCCTTTTCCCAATGGGGATGCTGGGCTGGGTGGGTGGGGGTGTGGTGGGCAGTGCTGGGAGGGGGATTATGGGGTTGGCTATGACCACCCCAAAAATTCCCCATAGCTCCTCCTGTAGTCCCCCTGCCCCAGCACTGCCGCCACCCACCCTGCTCCTGCCTGCCCCAGCCCAGCCCCCCATCCTGCCAGGAAGAGGCTGGCGTAGCCCTTGACTCTAAGCTTGCAGCAGGCAGCCTGCCTTTGCCCCAAGCACAAATCTGGGGGGCATATGTCCCCTGTGCCTTTCCCAGGGGTGCGCGCAGTGGCCGATAACCAGTCTCCGCTCCCCCACCTCCCAGATGAGTCGCCTGTAGCTCTATCCCACACCCTGCCCTGCCCCGGCTGGGCAGCACCTGCCCCTGCCCCTGCCCAAGCCCCACTCCCTCCCTCACCTTGGGTGCCTCAATCTGCCCCAGCCCATGCCCCTTCCCTCCCCGACAGACTTACCAGCCTAATGCTGCTCTCCAGGCTGCGGGGCTGCATATCAGCTATCAGATCAGTATCTGCCGATATGGCTGGTTAAGAATCGTCCATTGGTATCGGCCAAAAAAAATCTTTGTTGGTGCACCCCTAGTTAGCCACTTCTGAAAATGATACGTGGGCTTCCAAGTCATCTTATGCATTTAAAAAAAATACATTATTTTGGTAAACCAGAGAAAAAAATAATGCATTATTGTTATTTTTTAAAGAATTTTTAAAATTTCATCTCAGTCCTACTTTTTAACATATTTTAGCCAGGTCACAAGTGATCCATAAAACAAAACCCAGGAAAAAACTCCCGAGAACTTTTCTCCCACTCTTAGAAAAAGTAATTAGTACTGTCCGTTTTTGTGCAAATATCTTTAACTTCAGTGAAAATCTGCATGACTGATTTGTAAAAGTTACTGAGTTCTATCCTTATTTGATTTGTGCTTGGTCTTATTTTTTTCTCAATAAGGCCAACTGGCAAGCACCACCATAAAGAAAATATCAGAGTTTATCCTAGTGAAGGGATTACCCACTATGCCTTTTACAATTATTTTAGGTGTTACCCTGGTAAACTTTTAACAGTCTTGTTCAGCTAGTAGTTTTTAAAAACTTAGTTTTGAGAAAGTAGTGAAAGATGTATACAACGTTGGAAAGAATCCTTAAGTAATAAAATAAATTTATCCATTCAAAATTGTTACCTGGTAATGATATGTAGGTTGCTGATAAACAGGTTGAGCTACCATCACAGGGGAACTGGAAATAGAACGTGACTTTAAAAAAAAAAAGATAGGTAAATTAGAAATCCTAATGCAGTAATTTCAGGAATTGTTACTTTAATTAAAACATGCTTCTTAAATTTAACATAGAAAGTTATACATACACCCTATCCTTTTTAATACATATTGTGTCATAATAAATGATTGATTGTAGCAATTGTGAATATGTACCTAATTATATAGAATTCAGATTCTTTCATATGACTGATTTGTTTTGTCAGTACTCAGTAAATTGTTTCTGGTCTTGTTGCTGGAATTTCTGACAAATTAAAAACTTCAGATTATAATTGTTTTCACAGATCAGACATACAGTATCTTTACTCTCAGAAAAGGAAGAAATAATTTATTCCATAGTGTAGATGAAGCTCATGTTATGTGACCTCAGAACTTTCTGGAAAAAACTCTTACCTATTTGGGCTTACTACAGCCTCAAATCTCTCCATTTCTGTAGATGTAAAAGTGTAATTGTAAGTACGTGTATGTAAGGATATACCAGCATAAAAGCCTACAGGATTGATAATGGAAGGAGCTGACATCTGGCACCAGAGAAACCAGTGCCTTGTTACTGGGAGGTACAGTTTTGAGGTACTGAAGCTTGAGATATAGTCAAGATCTTGATTAACAAGCAATTCAACACAAAGGAGTAAGATTGGGAAGCTTCTTTGTTATCAAAACCTAACTGAGACCTTTATGAATACTAAAGATGCTCCAAAACATGGGTCATACTGTTGAGATGAGATGTAAAATTCAGCTCTATTTCCCTCTCAGCTTCAGGAAAAGAATCTATGAAAGCTCCTTAATACTACTATACAAATTCATCACAACAGTGGATATGAATCTTAACAATGGAGCCAACTTCCTTCAGCTTAGAGATGGAATTCAGGCAATATGTTCAAGATGTTGAAGCCCTCTTTGGGGGTGACTTGGTATGACAGCTGGTATAAGGGCTCGCCTTATGGAACAGCAACTGATACGGTATGGTTCATTTTGTTTAGTTAAACTAAAATACTTACCAGTAACTGGAGTTCTTCACCATGTAATACCTGGAAGTGAGAATGCATACGTGGACATATCTCAAGCCCCTAAATTTTGACTGGAGACTTTATGCCTTAGTAGTGCCTATCCAGTACATTCTCAATTAATTTTCACCACTCATCATGCATCTCCACATAGGGGATAAAGTGCACATTTCCTGCTCCTCAGTTTTCTCTCAGCTGCCAAGTCCTATATTACCACCTTCTACTCCAAGGAAGAATGTGGGTTTTGAATGTGTATGTGGATAATAAACCTTGAATAGCTTCTGTTACTGGTAAGTAATTTAATTTTCTTCTTCAATATATTGCCCATATACACAGTGTTATTTCTGGGTGACTCTAAATGCCCATATACCCAGAAAGTAGGCCTGAGTCCTTTCAGGCCAGTAGTTCTTAACCTTCTTAAATGCAAGATACACCTCAAAAAATATTAGCTCTTAGCTTTTGACTATGGAAAAAATAATAGAACTATTCTTCTGCTGCAAAGAATTCAGAAAGACAAGAGGTCCAAATGTTTTTGATACTATGGATTCTTATTTGAAACCCCTTATTTGTGAATTGTGTACAGATGTTTGCACATAACAGTACTGATACTGCATGGCTCCCTAATGGCCAAGGATGCCAAGACACCCTAATGTGCTATGGCTAGGGACATACTTAAATAACGATTTTGTGATTTTTGCGGAAACCACAAAAAATAGTGATTTCTGTGATTACCTTGAAAAACGGTGTTTCCCATGATTTTGGTCAGAATCACCTGAAAAAATAAAAGCTTACCAGAATCCAAAGAAAGTGAAGGAATCTCTGCAGCCATAGAGAACACAGTATGAGAAAGAGCCATTGAGAGAACGAGACAGTAGCATAGACCCAGTCAAGGCACCAGTCAGGAAAGCAAAAGGGTTTCAGATCCATCTTTTAATAAGCCAGGTGCAATGCTGTAGCAATGCTGCAGTCTGAAGATGATCAGTAAAAAGATATCCAAGAAAACTAAACACACTTCAGCTCAGGATCATGTAGGAACCTTGCATGCGGATGGTGGTAAACTGTTTTGTTGATCGTGCAACATGATTCTGGCTGCGTTGAGGAAAAACAGCACTGATCGGCATTTAGAGTCCAAATCGCATATAAAGTAAAAGGGTGCTGCATAGGCTGAAGGTCAGAGGAAGAAACAAGCAACTATGTCCTTGATCTTTAAAAGAACTACCAAAATCAGTTTGATAGGAAGAGAGGCTACGTTCACACTAGTGGAGGCATTCATGGCTGCCAACATTTCTCTGGAGAAAACTGACAGCCCTAAATTAAGGGACTACTTGAACAAACGCGTCCAAATGCTGGCAGTTTCCTATCTGCAAACAAGCTGTGCTAGGATTATCTACCAGGAGTAATTGCTTCGCATGTTCAGTCTATAAAATCTGCATTGGCAGAATATGATTATATTTGATTATAGCAGACGAAGCAACAGATGCCCAAGATAACTATGTTGTGCACATTTTATTTGTACCTGGGAGCTGGACAGACTGTGACCTACCTGTTTTTCAAATAGAGTCGGTTCACCTGTATCTGTCAATTTTTCTATTGTGGCACAAGCTGTAGTGAAGGCTGTTATAAACTACAGCTCAGAATTTAACAAGATCTCAGCATTTCTGTCTGATAATGCAATGTATATATGCAAAGCTTTCTCTGATGTGCTCCATGGAATGATGCCCAATGCAATTCTTGTCACCTGCAATGCACACATCCTTTCTTTAGCAAGTGACATCTGGCACATAGGTTTTCCTGATGTGGATAGTTTTGTTTCCTTTTTAAAAAAAGCATTCAAACATTTTCCAGGTCATAAACTTCAACACAGGGAGTCCATCACCAATCAGAGCAGATACCTATATGTGACTGTGTCACTTCCAACACACCCGGTGCTTACAAGATGGAATTTGTAGCAACTCAGTTCATTACCACGCAGAGAATATGAAGTACTACCAGCAATTTGTGTGCAAGGAGCTTGAAATCACACCTGGCACACAGTACATGCTTAAACTATGCAATTTCTTAAGACAGGGCAACATAGAAGATCAAGTTAAGTTTGTGGCTGCAAAGGTGATCCAGTTCATGGAGCTTCTAATGTGGTTTGAAAGTCAGCAAACTTTGTTCCACCAAGCACACAAGAAACTGATGTATTTGGTAAGGTGAGTCGAAGACATGGCATCACAACTTTCAAACTGTCAGTGAAAACCGGTGGAGACAAGAACTGTCCCAGGCAATAGCTGCGAAGCTGAATCAGTACAAGTACAATCAGTTACTACCACCGTGGTTTAAACAACCGGCTGCCTCCTTTTTCTGTGCTGTTCATATTTTTTACCCCACTCAGGTGTCTTTTCCGAGTTTTGACCCTCAGCTACTGAAATCAATCCCTGGATGGCAGAAACAGCATGACAAGGACTGTGCTGCTTACACAAACTTTGTCAACAAGAGTGCTAGTTGCTTTTGACTATGACTGTGTTTTGGCAATCTATTTCCAATTAGTTTCCATGTCTCTGGAACACCGTATAACTATTCCAACAAATTCAATGGATGCAGAACATGGGATCTCAGAGTATGGATTACAGAGACAGAGGATGTCAGCTGCAACTGCTAGTAGAGGCTGCATGCTAGCATTTAACAACTAACATCAATTGTTTCTGCTAAGGACAGCATTATTTAGTATTACTAAACTTTTTGTAGCATGCTAATAATAAATTATATCAGCTACAATTCATATTGTGTATAAATTTATAATATATTTCATTTTAGATTTAAATTTAATCATTTATAACAATGCAGTAATTCTAATATTATAAAAACCAGCAGTCTGTCTGTCTGTCTGTAATGCTTTATTTGCACTCTGATTGGCTGACAGAAACAGCCAATCAGAGTGCTCCAAGCATGGGGGAGTGCTGCCATGATTCCAAAGCCATGCTGAGGACTGGACAGAGGGTGGGGGAGCCAAGGCCAACAGCACTGGCCTTGGCTCCCCCACTCTGCTCCCTGCAAGTGACGCCAAGGACCAGACAGGGGTTGGAGAGTCAAGGCCAGCAGCATCAGCCTCAGCTCCCTCACCCTGCTTCCTGCAAGAGGCAGACCAGTGGCAGCATGTGGCATTAGGTGGCAGCACTCCATCCCAACCCTGCCCTCTCCACCCCCAGTCATTCTTGACAGGTAATTGGCTAGTGTATTTGATAATTCTATGGACTTTGCTATTTAATTATGCCGTGGTTTTTGCCTCTCAGCCAATCAGCAAGGAGGGACAGGGCAGCTGGGACTTCTCAGCCAACCAGTGGCAAGGGGAAGGGGCTCACTACAAAAAGACTGCAAAACTAGCTTTACATGCTGCAAGAAGCCTACAGAAATCCCTTTGTCTTGCTGCAGTTTAGGTAGGTCCCTAGCTATGGTTGAGCATCACTGCTATAGGCAAACAGCAACACAGAACTATTCTGCCAAGAGTGGCATCTTCCATGGAGGCTTATGCAATGGTATAATGTTTAGTGAAAATATGAATGGAGCTAGCATGCAGATAACACTTATAGGGACATTACACAAGGATGCTATAAAAATAGAATGACTGCGTCCATATTACTGATGGTGGATGCACTTTGGTAGTCTTGCGGCACAGTTTTATACAAAATTCAGTTTGATAACCTCTGAGCTGATATCGCTGCATCTTTAGATCTCTGACAACAGATACAAAAAGCAACAGTGTTTCTCAACAGCTTGCCCTGTGAAGGCAATCGGACAGAGTCCTTTTAATATCAAGCAAGTGCAGTGAAACCTCTGGTCATGAGGAATAAGACTTCAGGATACACCCCAACAAGTTAACTTTCTGTTCCCAAACAAAACATTTGACAGCTTTTGGCAGGAAATTTGGGTCAGTCCTTACGGTGATACTGTCACTATTTTGCCATGTAAATATGTCTAGTTGAGTTCTTCCTTATGCAAAAAAGAGTATCTCCTGACCATGGCTAAGCATTCTTATTCCACCTGTGAGTCATGCAGTCTCCAGGCTGTAAAATGGAGGGAATGAAAACATGTATAAAGAATTTTCCCTCCTTCCTGGGTTAAGATAACCAGAAATAAAGGAAGCTTCCTGAGATCTCACATCAAGAGTAACAGAAGATCCTAATACCAAAACTTTTTCAGCCACCTGAGGGCTACCAAGACAAGTGCATCCCAGTCCTGACTCATTTTGCAGTAATTAGAGCTTTCAGAAGGAATGTATACAGTAGGGCTCTCAACCTATCAGAAATGCATCAAAGGAGGAACCACAAATGAGCCAAAGCCTGTTCTTCCTGTTTTTTTCTGGCTCTCAGCTTGAATGGCTGACAGGTGAAGCAACTCTCAGGAATATGGGGGTGCCTATACATAAGCAACGAGGCTGCTCTGATGCGCTGTAATTCCATAGCGTTGGAGTAGACTCCATTAATCAAGTCTACTGGATCGTAGTAATTACCATGCTCCAGCAGACTCTGGTGTCTCGTATATCAGTGCCCCTGTGCTGAAAAATGACAGTGGGGCCACTATTTTTCACTACAATGACACTAATACACAAGACGCTCCAGGCGTATAATTAGAGTGGCTCCCAGAGCCACTCTAATTAAAAGCCCTCTGCCTGCCTCACTTCCAGGACACATGTATAAACACCCTGGGTTTTCTTCAGGCAGAAATGGTACCTTGTGTGACCTCTAGATGCTGAAAATCAGTCTATTACACAAAAAACACTACCAAAAGCCCAAAGAGGCAGTAGTTCTGGGAAAGACAATTAAAAATACTCCTCTATCCTACAAAAGAAATAAAGAAGTATGTTTAGAAGAGTTCAACCCCAGGTAAATAGGTAAACACCTGTGAAAAACCATCACAATAGACTGTGGTTTATTCACAAAACAGTACCAAAGACCAACTTCTGACCAGATAACCTCTGGTTATCCATTACAACTTGGTAGTCTTAATTTCCAATACTTTACTCTTACTGACAGTTAACACTCTTCATAACAATTCTACAATTATGTATTTTTCCTGTCTATTCTATAGGAAAAATATAGGTGAAGACAAATGAAGTGAAAAGTTAATCACCCAATCAAAACAAAAGTAAAACATTTCTAACATTGTAGCCTGTTTCATTTTATATATGCAACAAAACCTGTAATAATTACAATGTTAATCACAAATTCCTCTAAATACACCTGAAAGAGCTCCTCCATGTTAGTTACAGTATATCATGCAGTTACATTTGTAAACTATCAGAAGAGCTGCAGTCATCAAACACCATGTAAAGGCAATAAATCTCAGAGTTATATTTAATGCTCCTTAGAATTTTAACTATTTTGTACAATAAAAGAGGAAAAAAAATAGAAAAAATGAAGGCTACAAGGAAGAAGCAAAAAGAAACATACCATAAACCACACTCTGTCCAGCTATGCAATTATAACAGTAGTGCTGAACATTTTGGCTTCATGGGCAAAATGAATGGTGTGGGGCCAGTCCACAGACCAGATCTCTCACAGGATTGGTGCAAAAGGTTGGGCCGTGTCCCTGTGCCACCTTGTTCTGGCCCCCGCATGCCCAGATAGGCTTGGTCCTCCATAATTGGCCCCGAGCTGCCTTGGCTTAGCTTGGCCCTGTGTCACCCAAGCCCCACATGTCCAATCTAGCATGCAGAGCCATCCTATCCAGCCTGCTGGGCTCACTATGGGTCTGCAAATTTGGCAGCAGTGGAGTGGCAATTAATGCTGCCAGTCTTTCCCCACCACCAAATTTTTGGATCCAAGGGGAGCCCAGCAGGCCAGATGACATGCCACCATAAGCCAGGTCAGGTGTTGAGTACTATTTAGCTACAAGATACATGCAGTATTCATAATCTTTCAGATGTGTAAAAATAAGTTACTTACAGACCATGGTTGTGGAACAGAAGCAACTTCAGGAGTGTGAAAGTAAGCCACTCCATTGTGATAAGTATAAGGATATCCAGTTGAAGTAGTCAAGTACATTGTTCCAGCTGCTGGCATAATACTAGATCCTAAAACAAACAATGATAGTATCAAATGTTAAACCATCAGCATGTAGAAATTAAAACTGAACAAAGATATGCAATTCTTAAATTAAAGGAAGTAAAGACATACAAAGTTAAGCATTTTATATGTGTTTAAAATATAGAGTATAAAAACTGTACGTAGGGGAATAAACACTTATAAAGTGTGTAATTTGTTTTAAACTAAGAACATTTTAAATAGAAGATTTCTTTACTACTATATTTACTCAATTCCAAGATGAGGCTTTTCCCCCATTCATCACAGGGAAAGCAAAGCCTTGTCTTAGAATCGAGTATCACACCACTACAGCTAGCAGATGTGAAGAGCCACTGTGCAGGCAGCCCAGCTGTGGCAGGGAGAGCATCAGTAGCATGCAAATTTCTGTTTTCAGCTCTGCTCCTCTCCTCTCCTCTCCCCTCTCCTCTGTCACTAGCAGGGAGTCAACCAGGGAAGGCTGCATGCTGTTGTGGCTGCCTCCAGCCAGCTGGGAGTATCAAGTGGGTCTTCCCCCTGGTGGCACACAAGTCTCCGGAGCTGCATATGAACCCCTTGTGATAGACACAGGCTGACTTAGCACCAGTCCTTGCCGCCACATGCAGCTCCTGAAACTTGCTGGAACTGGCACAGCTGTTCCCTGCAGCATGGGGCAGGAACAGCTCTGGAAATCCACTGGGCCTGCCACAGCTGAGAGTCCAACCATTTAATCTGGGCAGTGTAGGGAGCCGTTGTGCTGAGCCATAGCCTGGCCCTGCTCTGTATTGCCATGTGCACCTCCCTGGACTCTGCCTGCAAGAAAGCAGCAGGACTCCCTCTCACTTCTGGTGGAGTCCCAAGAACTGCATGTGGTGGCAGGGAGTGGGGCCGGGCCACCAGCTCCATCATGTGGGGCTTCTCCCCAGTGGCGTGCGAGTCCCTGGAGCTGCATGCAAGCCCCGTGTGATAGAATCATAGAAAATTATGGTTAGGAGCCCTCAGGAGGTCACCTAGTCCAACCCCTTACTCAAAGAAAACCCACCCCCAACAAGATCTTCCCAGCCAAAGCTGTCTAGCCAGATTTAGAAAACATCCCAGGATGGAGCTTCTGCCACCTCTCTGGGTAACCTGTTCCAGTGTTACACTACCCACCTAGTGAGAAAATTCTTCCTAATATCCAACCTAAACTTTCCTTGCTACAACTTGAGACCATTGCTGCTTGTTCTGTCATCTCCACCACTAAAACAGCTCCATCCTCTTTCGAACCCTGCTTCAGGTAGCTGAAGCCTGCTATTAAATCCCTCTCAGTCTTCTCTTCTCTAGATGAAATAAGCCCAGTTCCCTCAGTCTTTCCTCATAAGTCATGCCCCCCAACCCCCTCACCATTGTTGTTGCTCTCTGCTGGACTCTCCAACTTATCCATAGCATTTCTGTAGTGGGAGGCCCAAAACTGAACACAGTACTTCAGATGAGGCCTCACCAGTGCTGAACTGAGGGGAATAATCACTTCCCTTGTCCTACTGGTAACACACCTACGAATGCAGCCCACTATGCCATTAACCTTCTTGGCAACAAGGGCACATAGTAGGCTTGTATTCAGCTTATTGTCCACTGTAATCCCCAGGTCCTTT